TGCCCCATGAAGAAATATGTACTTCCCCATGGGATCCTCTGTTATGTGAAATCATGTGTCATATAAGGAACAAATCTGATGTTTAATGGACAAAGGGAAGGCAAAGACATACAAAAATACTCAGTCCTCTTGAAAAATAGTGCATTTGTAATGATGAGAGACTGCAGGTGTGAGCCCTGTACTGACAACAAAAGAGCCTTTCAACTCAGCACCTTAAAGTGGAGGCCAAAAGTGGTGTTGGGGGAGACACTGCCAGGAACCCCACAGCTCATTCCTGGCTAACAGACCATAGGACCTGGTTAATGCCCAAAATGTCTTAAGTCTTTCATCTACTGTGCTTCTGTAGCCATGTGCCTGAAAATGATGTGCAGAATGAAAATCCTTTACTTTTGGGAAAATTTCCCCTATATCCTCTTGATAAAAATGCTACTACTTATGTCAGTGTTCGTGAAGGTAGTAGGGAGAGGATGGGTGTGCAAAAAGAAAATGAAACAGCAGACGGTTACTCTTCAGTACTGAGCACTACTGACCAAACCTTCATCTTAGATACTGAAGTGGAGGGACCCTTGCTGACTTCACGCCAGGAAGCTACGAGGAGACTAAAAATGAACCAGGACAGTCCTTCTCTCAGGACACAGCCTTCTAGGGTTGGAACCAAGACCAGGTCATAGATGAGTCCCTCCTATCTGCCTCAGGTCCTCAAAGGATGGTGAAGACTTAGCTGATGCCAGCAAATATGTCCATAAGCCAAAGGACAAGCAGAGCCAGAAATCCCAGTGGCTGGTCATCTCCGCAGTGAAGCAAACCCAGTTTTAGAAAGCTGTGTCCATCCCTACATGTATGTGGTAGCCGTGGGGAGGGTTAACATTTCAACTGCATGCAAAGCAGGGTAATGGAAGAAGTGAGAGTTATTTTTCACGTTTTACTTTCTTGGAAACAAAACCCAGAAAAGAAGGGAAGTAGGTAAAATTCTTGGTCTATGTAATAAGATAGAATCCAGAAACAGTGTACCTCCTGGTGGAATCAAAGTGACAGGGTGCTACTCCTGCAGAAATGTGATCTTTGGGGCCAAAGTGAAACTGGGCTTAATCACCAGGTCCCTGGCCTGATTAGCACATGGCACTGTGACTGCAACCTAAGTTGAAGGACATCAGGGAGGAGGCGATCCAAGCAGGTAGTGCTTGTCCCTTTTAGCTCTTAAAACTTTCTGAGTTAGAGCTTTTTTTTCTGATTTCAGTGGCATTATCATGAACAGGAAATCTTTCTGATCAAAGCTTCCATTTAAGTCAAATGGCCAAAGCAGTGCCAAGGACTTACACGTGGCACTAGGGGCATAGAATTTACTTCTAGGAGGAGAAAGCCCACAGGAGACCTGGAACCCTGGGTCTTAGGCTGTGTGAGGCCTGCAAACTTTGTGTTTCTAGGTTCAAAAAGATGCTCCCAATTGAACATGCTGACAAGTCTGAGAGTGCAGAGCCCTTCCCCAAGACAGCAGAGAGGTGACGACAGATCATTCCATGTACAGAAGAGGACCAACCGCCTGCAAGGCAAGTCCAGCCCCCCATTCACAGGAGTCCAGACTCCCTCAGCGCTCTAGGGCAGGGGAGTTGTCACACCAAGCAGACATGAGGCCCCTCTGCCCGAGAGATGGAAACAGCCCCAAGTGAAGATGTTTGGATTGTCAGTTAAGCCTGAGGCAGGAAAGAGTCATCCCCTAAGCAGAGAAAACTACCAGATTCACACTCCGATATTTATATTTGAGCCAAAGGAGACCTCAAGGCTGAATGTAAGTGCCAAAAGATATGTGTGTGTCAGGGCGCCTGATGCCCCAGAAGATTAACATCTTGTCAGAGTATGGCCCTTACTTATGGACAAGGTATAATTTGCATGAATCTAACATTTCTTTTGGATTCAATCCCAAGTTTGTTTTTCTGAGATGACTGATTGGTGCAGAGTCTGGATGCCTTTGGCTCTACATCACCTGTTTCCCTCTTGGGGCTGTGGCTCCTGCTCACAACACCTGTGCCTGCTCTCCCAAGTCCTTCAGAGCTGCTCTCAAGCTGGGCAGCTCCCCCTCATCACACAGCAGCTCTCATCACATACTCCCTTCATAAACCAACTAAGGCCTCCTAACAGTGGATACAGTCCGTAACCAAGGAAGAGTGGTCTCACTGGGGAAATGGCAAGAAATGTCCAGAAAGAGTCAGTCTGATTATGAAGTGGTCATCTGAAAGTTTTGAGCTGCTGTAATAAAATGAAAAGATCTTTAATATATTTAGAGACTTACCAGAGCTAATGCTTCTAAGATAACTAAGACTACAGAAGCTATAGTTTAATTAAAATCTAACAGCAGGTTTTTTTGCATTTAAAGACTCAGATTAGAGCAGTTTATCTGCAAAGGAAAACTCAGTATTGGCATGGATTGCACAGTCTGTGATATCTAAGTTTTCCCCCTTAGAAAATAGACACTGCTTAAAAACGAACAGGACCCTCTTGGGGAACCCTAGGTCATCTATTCCAGGGACATGGAGAGATGGCTGGATGGGAAGAAAGAGCTTGGAAGGAGAAGTGGACAGCAGTTCCCTAGGTGCATGTACCCAAAACATCAGTGGACACATGGTCACCTCTGTGTGTCTGTCTGTCCTACACTGGAGGAGGCAAATCTAGGATTCCAGTGGCTCTCAGACTCAGCATGGCCAGCAAGGGTTAGTTACTCAACCAGGGTGGTAGGCCCTACATTCCCTCCCTGTTCTAAAGAGAGAGGGATGTTTGCTGACCTAGTGAGCCTGCTGGGGAAGGGACAGGTGAGGCTGAAGAGGAAAGTCAAGACAGGGTGACTGAGCAGCTGGCAGAAAAAACACTGTGTTAACAGTAGAAAACTCAGCACCAATGGTGATGGACTTTCTGAGGCAGACCTTTCAGCTTGGAAAGGCAGCACAACACTGGCCTTTTACTCAGCCAAACAAAACCCTTCACTGCACAGATTAGGAGATGTTGAGGAAAATTATAGGCAGGTGGCCTCCCTACCAACCCAGCTAACTTCCTCTCTGCTACAGACCAGGTAATGTCCACACGATGCCTCTCATCAGTGAGGTAGATGGTCATCCTCTTGCTAGAGGTATCAGGGTGCCAGACCCACCGCACAGTGGAACAGGAGCATGAGCTGCCTGGCTGCAAGGCACAAGCTATTCCCTGGGACTGTATTAAACTTACAGCAAGCCACCAAAGTGAACAGGTTCCTCTGAGGAAACTGAGCTCCGCAGACTTGGGACTCCTGAGGCCTGCACACCACCAGCTGCTTTTGCTTCGAGACACGGCATCTGAAAGCAGACTGTCCCCATAATCTGCTTCCACAGGTGGAGTCTGCTCCTGTGCTAGCAGATGCTTCCTGTCACGACGGGACTTAGAGGAGTGGAAAGACAGAAGCACGGTCCACAGTGAGTATTGGGACGGGAACCTGCAAGAGGAGGGGAAGGTGGAAGGACAAGAGAGGTTGCAAAGTGAAAAGCTTAAAAGTAGGTCAAGTTTAAAATTATATCAAGGAGGTAAGAGATGGGAGGCAAAGGTTTAAATCAAGAAGAGGGGTGGGATCAGGGAGGTGAGAAGCTCCCAGAATGTGGAGGTGGGGAGGTGAGATGTCTGGCATTACTTCCCGTGCAGGTCACTTAGCTCCACATTATCCTTTCGGCGCTTATGGGTGAAGAGGGAGGCGACAGGGTAGAGCTTGGCCTTGGCCTGGAACCGGTGTCCCGCAATGTCAATCTCATACTCTCCCCGGTTGATGAACTCTGCTGTCACCACCTGCTCTTCTCCAGTGTCCTCGGAAAAATTGTGCACGAAGCCCAGGCAGACGTGGCGCTCCAGGGTGTAGCTGTAGGCGCTGCTGGTGGTCTTGCCCACATACTGCCCATTCCGGTAAATGGGCTCTCCCCACCAAGGCCAGAGGTCCAGGTCTGTGTCGTGGTTGTCCAGGATGAACATGGTGAAGCGTTTGTACACCCCATTCTGCTTCTGCTGCAGCAGGGCATCTCGGCCAAGGAAGTCCATCCCCTAGAAGGAGAGGCGACACTGAGACTTGGTTACACCCTGGCACTTGGCCCGGGAGCGGCTGGGAGGAAGGGTCCCTGTGACACTGCAGTGCAGTGCAACTCTCCCACCACCACACTCCTGCAAGCTTTGTGGAGAGTGTTTTCCACCATGTGAAAAATCACAACACATGTACAGATTCCTTTTTTTTTTCTATTTTATAAACAGATTTCAATCACAAGACCACATGGAAAAAAACAATGAAAAAATACTTTGTTTTAGAAAAACGTGTTTTTATATAATCCTAACAAATGCATGGATATCTATATATATATGTGAGGATAGAATACTCTTGAGAGTGATTATGAATAGATGAGTGATTTTAATTTTCTTGATATTTTTCTCTGTTTTCCAAAATACATATTCATTTTATACCAGAGAAAGTTCTCTATAATCTCCCAAAAAGAATACTTTCCTATAGATAAAGTTAGTGTACTGATAAGGAATGACTGCTGAGATACTGTGTTAAGTGAAAAAAAGCAAACTACAGTATTACAAGTGTGTATTGTCCAACCATCTATGTTAAAAAAGTGGTGGAGGGAGATTATACCCTCATCTGTTTGCATTACTGAAGGTCTCGAAAAGGAGCTGAGAAACTGCTCTGGAAAAGTTCGCAGTGAAAGCAGATGGGGTTCAGAGGTGGAAAAGAGACTTTTCCCTGAATGTCCTCTTGAACCGTGACTTTTTAAAAAACCTACATTTATATTACTTTGAAAAGAAATAAAAACTTAGGCAGTTGGATGTAAGATGATTCATTTATACAAATACATGTGGCATGTTAATGAATCACCATAATCAACTTAGGAAATCTTGCCAGGAAGCACTCTGTTCCAAGTGCTCGGTACAAGCGTCCACTGTCGTTTCCACACTGAGATGTTTTACCCACCGACACTTTCATTCTAAGGCTGTCCTCTGTGCCGTTATTCCTGATCTGTCCCCGAGAGCTTAGTACTTCACTTCTACTTCCACATTTGCTCGTCTTCCTATTCTAGTGCTGGTTCACCACACAAGAAGCTGAGTGACAGTGGAGTGTGTGCAGATACAGTACCTTTTCTAATTTCACCCGAGAGTCTCGTCCACATTCCAGAGGTGTGGTAAGGGTATTTAAATCTTGACCCCAGAAGGCAAAAAACTTCTCAATTCGGAGACTACGAAGAGCATAATATCCAGCATTCCGGATTCCATATTTCTGCCCCACGCTCATCACTTCATTGTATACATGCAAGGCATACTAGAGGGAGAAACGAAAGGTTGGTGATGGCAGAACTTACTAATTAAAAGGGGAGCAGGTCTGCCAGTGCCTGAGGGCTGACACTGTTGCCCTGGATGAGGGAGAAGCTTGCATAAAATTCTCACAGTGATGCACCCTCAACATACCAAAGTGGCATGGCCCAGGAGTCGTGCTGGGGTCCCCCTAAACCAGACTACAGCTCCATGACAGCAGCATCCATACTTTCTCACTTCTCTCCAGCATCCAGGACCGTGAGCTAAGGAGACAGCAGTCATCACAGAATGGCTCGCAGACACACACCCTCACCACTCAGCAACCGCCTGCCGCATAACCACTCCCCAGCCAGCCTGCCCACCCCACCCACTTTGTTCTCTTGCCCTCAGTCCCCAAACTCTGTCTTTCCCTTACATGCTGCCTGTGCTAGGACATGAGTGTGACACACAACTCTAGGCGTATGTATGTGACCTCTTTTTTCACAGATTACAGCATATCTTAGAGACTCAGATGGAGTCACAGGGAAGCCAAGGAAGCAGAGCTCTCCTACCCAGGCCCCATGACTTTCAGCCTCTCATGTCGTTCTTTTCTTGTGTCAGAAAACTTAAATAGAGAGAAAGTCCAGACTGAAAGCAAATATTCAACCCTTATCTAAACATATTCTATTAAGTCTAGGAACTAGTAACAGACTATACTGCTTGCTTTAGAAACTGGAAAACAGAAGACAGATAAGACAAAGACAAATACTGTATGATCTCATACAGAATCTAAAAAAAGGCAACCAACCAACCTCAAACTCATAGAAAAGAGATCAGATTTGTGGTTATCAGAGTTTGGGGTGGGGGAACAGGAGGATGGGCATCAAAAGGTACAAACTTCCAGTTACCGGATAAGCATGAGGGGTGTGACACAACATGATGACTATAGCTACCAATGCCATATAATATAAGACCTCATTGCAAGGAAAAAATTCTTTTGTTTGATCTTTTCACTATACCTATATAAACATTGGTGGTAAACATTTCACAACATATGTCAGTCAGTCCATTACACTGTACACAGCACTGCATGTCAGTGGCATCTCACTAAAACTAGAGAATAAGATACACAAAGCAGCTTCGCTGGTATTGCCGGTCTTCATCCTGGCAGCGTATGTTGCTCCCTAAATTGTATAACTGCAGATGAACAGCATCTACTGAACAGACCACTCCAGTCAACTTTACATGTGGAAAAAGAATTCAAGCTGTTGAATTCACACACAGCCTGTGGTATGTGTGTAAGTGAAACACCCGTATTAGCACAGGTGGGCAGGAAGAGGAGACCCAACACAGGCCGGCAGGGAAAGGAGAATACTACAGGGCCAGCATCTCTGGTGGGTTCAGGCCTTTGTGTCTCAAGCTGAATACTCTGTACTTAAGAGGAAGGCCAAGGAGGAAAGATTTAAAGCCAGCAACTAGTCTTGTCTTAGACAGAAGAACAGGCAGAGTGGGTCACCCCGCATTTACTCCCTTACTAAATAACAGGGATTTAGTGTGAACAGACAAGCACCTGCTGTCATCCATCATGTTGGAAGACATCTCAGAGAGATGAGTATGTTTCTTGAGGACAACAGCCAGCCTGAGAAGAGCCTGGGCATGACACAAATTACCTCCTGGACTCATGGAAAATCATAAAAGTGGAAGTAGCATAGGAAAACCAGAAGGCAGAAAGAATCCAGGACCTCCAAGTTATGAAGATGCTGGGGCCATAGAGCTTCCCTTCCTGATGGAGTTTGGTCGGTACGGACACAGCAGCCAGGTGGTGACACCTGCATGACCATTGGCACCTCAGAATCAATCACTGTGCCCCCTTCCTGATGGAGTTTGGTCGGTACGGACACAGCAGCCAGGTGGTGACACCTGCATGACCATTGGCACCTCAGAATCAATCACTGTGCCAGTGAAACAGGTGCTATCTGTATGTCAGTACTGCAGCTGTGGACACAGTCCCTTCATCTTAATATTATTGTTACAAAATTTCTGAGTGAAAAAGCATATGAAATTTTCTGGGCTGGTAAATTCATGCTCTAATTAATAATCAAAAGACAACACTATGAATAATGTAACTAATATTAAGAACAAGACAGAGAGCCTCCAATCACTGCTGCTTGTCACAACTGGACGTATGAAATTATAGGGATAAAAACTGCTAAGGAAGGAAAACTATTACCATTTGCATATAAGACTGAACCGTGAAAATTGCAGAGAATCAACCAGAAAACAAGTGTAAACAAAATAGTGAGAAACTAGGTTGAAGTATTTATATATATAGAAAAAAATTTTCATAAATCATACTCACATAGAAGACAATGGAACAAAGATACCCTTCCCATTCACAGTAGCAACACAAAAATATTCAAATATACTTAAGTGATAACATCTATATGAAAAGAACTTCAAAATATCTCAAGTCACCAAAAAACAATTAAAAATAAAGTATGTACTTTGATTGTAAGTCAACACACCATAATCTCAATTCTAATTTATGTGTAACACAATCCAGAAAGTATCACCAGGGTGTTCTTTGTTTTTACTAGATGATTATAAAGTTGTAAGGGAAAATTAAGAGACTAATTGTTCTTCTATTCCAGAGTTTTCCAAGGTATGGAAATAAGCACTACCAGATATTAAAATATATAATAAAGCCTCAATAATTTAAAGTATGATCTTGGATCATGGATAGACCAACCAGACAAAAGTCCAGAAATAAACCCAAATACATTTAGGAATTCAGTATTTGATAAAGTTAAAATCTCAAATCAGTTAGTTATCCATGTGGAAAAAAACAGTTTGATCCATATTTCATAAAGTACACCAAGAGGCACCACAAAAGAATGGGGCATTTAAATATTTTTTTAAAACATAAACCCATAAATAGCAACAACATGAACTATAAAAGTACTAAAAGAAAATGAAAAATTTTACATTAGAGAAGTCCCTTCTATGTTACCAAACTGTAGAAAGCACAAAAGATTGATCAATTCAACTACATAAAATTTTGTTTCTGCAACATAGGAAATATTTTCTGTAATAATTTCAAAAACCTTTCTACATTGCAAAAAACACAACAGAAAACAAATGACAAACTGTAGAAAGATTTGCAACAGCATGGACTGTCTGATTCAGAGAGTGCCAGGAAGTTGATAAAAAGATCAATATAATATAAAAACGGACAAAGGGTGTGACCAGAACATTCATTCCTGCACCATTTATTAAGCATTTACTATGTGCCAAGTAGTTCTCTAGGGGCTGGGGAAACAAAGTTAAAAAAGACAAATATCCTTGCTTTTAGGAAACTTCCATTTAAGCAAGGGTAATCTGATGAACACACTAAAGTGTATTTTATTGAACAGTGGTAAGCACTATGGAGAAAAAACAGGGAAGCGTAAGAGGGAGATCAGGGGGATGTTGCAATCCAGAAGGTGACACCAAGCAGACGTGGTTGTGAGCTTGAGAGTGTCTAGGGGAAGGACACAACAGGGGAAGGGGAGAGGCACGTGTAAAGGCCCTGAAGCTGAGCAGGCAAGCTGTCCCCAGCTCAGCAAGGAGTGAGAAGGGCTGTGAAGAGAGAACAAGAGGGAAGCCACAGGGCGAAGAATGGGCCAGCGAAACTGTGGAGGCCCTGGAGATGTGCCTTCACTTAGAGGTGGGTTTTGAAAAGTGGCTCAGTCTCATGCCTATGGGAAATTAAAACTGCACTGACAAACTGTTCTACACCCATGAGCCTAAAGTCTGAAAACTGTGTGTGCTGGTACATGCAATAAGGAGATGAGCACTACCGTACACTGCAGAATTTCTTATAATAGCAGAGGACTAGAAACACCATAAATATCTGTTAGTACTAAACTGGTTAAATTATGCTTCAGCAGAGAGAAAAAAGATGGCAGCATGAGAACTGAGGCAGAAATCTCCTCCCAAAACCACAGATAACATGAAAACAGAGCAAATACAACTAATCCTGAAAGGGTGACCAGAAAGAAACTGCAACAGACAGCTTACATCTGGGGAAAAGAGAAGACCTCACAAAAAATGGGAAAGTAGCAAAGCTGTGAACGAGTGGGACTCAAGCCTTGCCCCCACCCCAGCTCACCAGCGGGAGGAAGAGAAACAGAGTGGGGGGGGAGTAGAAGCCCTGGACTGCTAAATACCTAGCCCTGGAGATCTACTACGGGAGCACAAACCCACATTGCATGGTGCTCTGGAGATTAGAGGGGTTAGAAAGCAGGACGAGTGGAATATTCGGAGAGACTGAGATTCCAGCAGCTTGTGGAGAACAGGTACCCACAGTGGCCACTACAGGACAAAAGAAAGGCAGGTGCTTTGAAAGATTTCCCAAGAGTAAGAGGGCTGCTAAAAGGGCAAGGATTACACAGAGCTTGCTGCTAAGAGGAAAGAACAGGTGGACAAAATTGTCCTGGCACAATCAGCACAGCAAGTTGGGAACTTTCAGGAGACTCAGGAACTCCATCCCCCTGGCTGGCAATGCAGCTGCGAGGACTCCCACCATGATACATAGCCTGACAGTCCTTCTTCCTGGCCAGCACCTGCTCTCAAACCTGCTGCCCCCGCCATTGCGCCAGGCGAGCCAGAGAGCAGCCCCACCTACAGCAGCAACAGAGGCAAAACACAGAGGCTTCTCCCTATGCGCTAAGCACACTGCCCTGGCAGTGGAGGCAGGCACTGTGGCCAGGAAGCAGGAAAGAGTTCTGTCCTCCCGGAAGGCACTGGTGCTGCTTGCCTGCAACCCCCGCCATTGGTTCAGGGGTTGGGCAGCTCCAGAGAGTAGAGCTCCTGGGCACTAGAGGGTGCCACCTACACAGTTATCGTTTCATATTACTTAAGTAGGATTGAAATGTCAAAAGAAACTTTTTCAATCCCAAATCCCTCAAACACCAGAAAGAGGGCTCAGTGAAACTGAAATCAGCAGTCTTCTTGATAAAGATTTCAAAATAAAAATCATAAACATGC